AAGCAGAATTGATATTGTCCTTGCAACATTGGAATTTCATAAATGCACGAATGGGTTGGTGCGCAAAAGAATAACGTCACAATAATGTGATTGGTCACTTGCGGTGTTGAACCTGGAACAACATTTTCATGATGATCTGGGAACAACACCAACACGACGATATCAGATCATCCCCCATACGTAATGCAGGACTGACTGTTATCTAGAGCCCAGCAGTGAAGAGTATAAATGCTGAAATAATACTGAGTAACAAGTAGGAGTGTGTGTGAGAGAGAGAGAGAGAGATTTAGATATTTATTTGAATTGTTGACCTACTCTATACCGATTCATTTTCCTTTGAAGCAATGTCAGCTCACACAGAGAAGGTTTTCGCATGTTCATCCTGTGCCTGTGCGGGTTCTCTCCTTCTTCTTCCATAGACATGCATGCTACGGTAGCTAATGATTCAAAACTGACCACAGATGTGAGGTATTCACAGGGCTTGAAATGCATAGAATTAAGTGCTAAACAAATCTAAAGTGGGACTTGTATGGCACATTTAGTGTCAGGAATACTAGAACAGTGTTATATAAGTGCGAGTACATTTAATGTTTTATTTTTTCTCCTGTTTGCTTATTTTTTTGTCCATTTATTCCAGCTGTTGTCACAGAGCACAAACTTGTTTTCATCATAAACAGAAGAAAATGTCAGGCTATTTTTGAACATTTAACCATTGTTAAATTGCGCATCCCTACATCGCGTTATCTACTAAGTTCTGCAGTTTGGAGACTAAACTAACTTCAGTCCCTCCCCCGTCTCCCTCCTAAATTAACCTTCGCATTAACTCAATCACATACAAGCTGCACAAACATGCACACACAGCGTGTGACTTACATCTGTGCTCAGATGCCGCAGGAAGACCAGAAAACTGGGCTCCAGGGAAGAAGAAAAAGGACTTCTCCTGCAGTGATCGCTTGGTAAGAGCTATGTTAGCAGCTTAGAGGAAACCCTATTTACACTCTTGATCTTTTGTGGCATGTCAAGTATTACCTGTCGTCTCTTTATGTTAACGGAGGATGTATATTCTTTATGTCATAGTTTGCTCTGAACCTCGGATTGCAGTTCTACACCCCAGAGGAGTACTTTTTGGGTTGGAAGCGTGCCCCCTACAGCCTGCCTGAATTTAACCCTGTGGGTACAATATAGTCTGTACATATTACACTGTATATGTCTTCTGCTTCAGTGTTTCGTTGACGGTTGTCTTTATTTAAATCGCTAGTCTAAGCTCGACTCTGCTGCCAGGCTGTACGACCCACCGTCCGCCTCCCTCACCTCCGGTGACACCGAAGTCATTGTTGCCGTGGGATTCCCAGCATGTAAGAAAACCACAGAGTCATCGTTCTGTTCTCACCTTTGACAAACACCCTTCTGATCTCATTCCGTCTTCCTTTGATCTGCAGCGGGTAAATCCACCTTCTTCCACACCCACGTTATTCCAAAGGGCTACGTTTATGTCAACAGGGTGAGTGGCGCTTGCGGCAATATGTGCTTATCCACTTTAATTTTGTCTTTGCACTGAACTACTTTAACTATAATGAAAATTATCTATATGGTATATATGGACTGGTTCTTATCTGGTGCTTTTTTACTCTCCTCGAGCACTCAAAGCATTTATTCACACACATTCACACTCTAATGAATGCATCTGGGATGAATTGGGTGTCAGTATCTTGCCTAAGGGCACTTCAGCACGCAGAGTGGAGCAGTCAGGAATTGAACCAACCTTTCAATTAGCAGATGACCCACTCTCTCCTGAGCCACAGCAACCCTAAATTGTCAGCCACCATATTTTTGTCACCGTTTGTGTCTACTTTCCATGTGATACTGACACCTCTCCATTTGTTTCCGGGTCAGGACACACTCGGTTCGTGGCAAAACTGCGTGTCGGCATGTGAGCGCGCTCTGAAGGAGGGCCACAGCGTCGCCGTAGACAACACAAATCCAGACCCAGAGTCTCGCAAACGGTAAAGCACCTCAGTCTGAGTGCGTGTGTGGGTGTGTGTCCTGACTTGTTATAGTACACCCATATATTCAAATCCACCTGACCTGAACACACACTGGGCTGGGGAGTCATTCAAAGACGAACACGTATCCAGTGTCTACCATCACATTCAAAGTATATATCAGATATTTGCAATCAGGGTGGAGATATTCACCTTCTGTTTACACTGAAGTCTAATAGAGTCACTTATCTGCTCGGTGTTTCTGGAATCAGCTCAGTGTAATACATTGAATTATGTGACAGACTATTTGACTCTGGTGCTGTATTTCAAGTTTGATAAGTAAAGAGAGAGAGAAGAGCCATGACAAGCACTAACTTTACCCTCACAGAAAAATGCTCTCAAAGTGATTGTTATTGTTGTGTTTCATCATTTTATTTTTGTTCCTTTGTGTGTATTTGTGTGTATTTTGTAGCTATGTGGATGTGGCCAAAGCAGCAGGTGTTCCTTGTCGCTGCTTTCACTTCTCTGCCACTCTGGAGCAGGCCAAACACAACAACAGGGTATGTCTCACTCGTCCACACTGCGCCATTATACACTCGTGGGTTTTTGTGTTGTTTTTTTAAAAAGCATCATTATTGTCGGCAGTTCCGTGAGATGGCTCCGTCAGACAGCAAACACGCCAAGGTCAATGACATGGTTTTCCACAGCTATAAGTAAGTAACACTGGTCAGGAAGGACAGCCCTCCCTCCCTCATTCTTTAAGTTTAAGACATATTTGTTTGTTGTAGCAAAAGGCCCACGTCTACCATTTTCAGTACCGGGTTAATTCTTTATTCTAAAAAATTCTCCGTCTCTCCCTGAACAGGAAACATTTCCAGGCTCCTGCTCTCTCCGAGGGATTCTCCGAGATCCTCCAAATCCATTTTGTTCCAAGCTTCAAAGACGAGCAATCAGAAACTCTGTTCAGACAGTTTTCTGAGGGCTGACTGGACACCTTTTACTTTTCTGACAAAGAAAAAACACAAATGGTACCCAGTAACATCAGCAGACATCCACATTTATTTCAGTCCAGTGTTTTAAGATCTCTAGCCACAAAGTCCAACTCCAAAATCAGAGACGTTATTAAAACGGTGTTTTAACAAAGGCCAGTTGAACATCTATATGAATGAACATAACAGTAGTTTGATGCGTCACGTAGTATGTATGTTGTGTAATTTTACTGCACGGCTTGAATATGTCAATAAAGCTTTAGAAAATCTATTTGATTGGTTGTGAGTATTTAAGTTTGGAGAGAGTTCACCTCCTCTGTGTTTGCTGTGTTGAAATCTGCAGTCTAATCCTGGACCCGCTCAGTTTATCTCAGGCAGGAACTGGATCTCCTTCCCCAGATGCTGCTTCAACCACGGCATTATCTTGAAGAGGTCAATGTGAAAGTCTCGAGCATCTGGAGGAGGCGTCCTTGTGAATCCTTGTATTTTACACACATCTACGATGCCCCAAGACACCACACCAACCTGGTGATGAGAGCAGGAAATTGTCTCTTTGATCCTGATTCCCCAGCAAAGTTAGGCTCTTATAAATATCGGCAAACTGACCTGAAAGTAGCGCTTCTTTTTCTGCAGAAACAGGGACCCACCAGAATCGCCTAGAAAGAAACGCATTGAGCTGTTAGGTGGTTCCGATGTTGGTCAAACTCTTAGGATTACTATGCAGAAGAGACCAGACCTTGGCAGGTGATAGCATCCTGATATCCTGCAGTTCCCCCAGAGCAGAGGAATCTGTCAGGTACAAACTCATCCAAAGTCACATCCGTGTGCTCCACAAGCTTCCTTGCCTTCTCCACACAGCCAAGCCTCTGCAGACAAATGATGCACTGTAACAAATCCCTGTTAACACAGTACTGACGATAAGATGAAAGCAGCGCTCACCTGACGCCCTGTATGAATATGTGTTTCTTTGCGTTCATTGCTTCCTGAGATCTTGTGGTTGAAAAAAGCAGGAGTCTGCTCGAGCGTTAGTAACTCCACTCCTGGAACATTAATTTTATTCAGAATAAATTATCATTTATTCAACGATTTATCCTCAGTTTTGTGTCACACTATAACAGACTCATCGCAAATCACGTTGTGGAGAAGGTAAAGGTCACGTACTGTGGTCTTCACAGGTAGAGTTGACTTTCTTCATGGCTCGGGAGCCTGGTACGGTGCATGGCAGGCAGATGGGTCTGTTGTACGGCACACAGACAATAAGCATGACAAGAGGATTAGAAACGCACAGAATGTTTAACTCGTCTTACCTGGCCATCCATGACAGCGGGATGCTGCTGTTTGTCTCCACCAGAGCTACATCATAGTCATAAAACTCTGAGACGTTTCTGTGTTTGAGTGCGCTGGTGCTGTAGCTGGGGTGCATGATCACTCTCTTGACATTTGACTGGGAGGGTGGGAGACCTGAGGACAAACGACCACAGCCTATAACACAATGATTAGCACCTGCAGTTTATTCATTAAAAACTAAGCTAGGATTAAATATTCCTGTCGGTCAAATCTGACTGATTTACAAATGAAAAAACTCATAAATATTGTGTTTTACATCTGATTGCCTCAAGGCCTTATGACATCCTCCACACTATGCACTTGAACATATAAGAGTGATGAGCACCTCTTTCGTTCAATTTAGAGTGTTTTTATCAACTTTGTTACATCTGCGGTGCTCCCGGTCGAAGGTGACCACCACAGGAAATGAATGGGAATCCACCCCCATACCCCCTGGCTTCTGACCCCCTGAATGGCCCACTGAACGACCCATTGAACTGAATTTGGTGGTGGAAAATGTTCCTTTTGTCAATTTAAGAGCTGTTAAAACAATTGTGACCAAAACACTAAAGTAAGGGGTTGCACACAACTGGAGGGTTTTAATCAGGATTAAAAGATGCCATTTTTATGTCATTTTTTAATTCAAAAACTAAATAAGGATTTAAAACCAAATTACAAAATTAACTGGGATTTCTTTTCAATGGATCGTGAATATTGAAACTAAATTTACAATTTAAAAGAACATATTAAAATTAAAACTTTATCAGCAATTAAAAAGAATATTAGAATTAAAAAGTAAATTTGATTAAATTAGATTATAATTTGTCACCCAGCTTTAAACGTGAATACGATAAAAAGGTAAATTAGAACTGAATTAGATAGAAATATGATCAAATAGAAAACAGGATAAAACACTATATTACTGATTAAGACTTTTGTTAGGGTTAAAAACCACCTGATTAGGATTTAAATTAAATTAGAATGAAAAAGTAAACAGAATTCATATTTAATGAGAAGATTAAGATTAAGATTAAACACTAAATAAGGTTTATAAAATGGGATTACACCAAAGTAATTCACTAACAGTTTTTTATTATTAGTGAGTCCATAGTAACATATTTATATTTTATAATTTCAGGATGGTCTGTGCAACGAGCTATCCTGACTTTTTTTGTGATTTCACACATTTATTATGTAGTTTCACTGGTCCGGCCACCTTATGATCTAAATGGGCTGTATGTAGCCCACAGTGTAAAATGATATTGACATCCTGATCTACACATTTAAGAATTTTCCACAATAACCACTGACCATATTCTATGTACAGCTGCCGTGGGACACTGCCTGTGCTTTCTCTGGCAAAGCAATGAGCAGCCGTCAGCACCCAGTTCTGGCTTACAATGGATCCAAAGCAGGACTTGCCCGTTCCCCATTCAGCCTACAGGGAAGGAAAATGTCAGTATGTAAAAATCCACTCGATAATATTGAACACAAAGAATTCCTTATTGAAATAAAGCTCTTACTGATTTCAGAGTCACGTGCCAGGGGGTGGTGTAAGCTCTCTTTCCGCCGTTCTGCTCATCCTTGGAGATGTCTTCCTGAGCCACCCCACACATGGTCACACTCTCGTCACCTGATTTATAGATTAAACAAATGAATGTTCCCACTTCGGTTTTTCACTTTTGTTTTTTTCAACAAGCATGAAATGTGAAAGATAAATCACTAATGTTGTTTCATTTGGCTGTTTTGTGTTAGAGTGGAGGGTTGACTTCTACTTACTAATGATGCTGTTGAACACTTCTCCCAGTTTGTCATAATCTTTGAGGATGAACACGTGAGTCTCGCCACGTTTTTTTGAGGCCAAAGAATTCAACTCCTCTTTGTTCACCTTCTCCTTGACGCCAAACACATAGACGTCTGAAAGTGCACATGGAAACATAAATGCAGATAAGTGCGCCAACTCCAGCTCAACCTTTTTAATATGTTATTTCCATCACAATACCTAGCATTTTCTCATTTGTATGGTCTGGGTCTGGGTCTCGGTTACTATAACCCAGCAAATCCCGGATCTTTGTGAGGACAGTCTTAGCCGATTTCCCTGTGTTAGAGTAACCTGTGGGTAGAAAAACATTAGGACAGAATAAATTATATTTGTACAGCACTTTTAAAACCAGCATTACAAAGTGCTTTTCCAGAAACACTTTGTGTTACAATGTGATATATATACACACACGTATATATACGTACATGTATTTGTATATATAAAGATGGCCCCAAATCCTTTGTAACGTCACTCAATGTATTCAGACTTTCATTCTATTCAGACTATATCGTCCTATATATACAGACTTAGTGTAATATATACAGCATTAAAACAGTGTCTCTGAGTGTTGTCACCATCTGTTGCTATGATGATGATGTTCTGGGTCTCATTAAATTGATTGTTGTTGCGCTTAAAGATGCTCATCCTCTCTTCGACGCGCTTTAGAGCACCGTGGATGTTGGTGCCTGTCTTGCGCCCGTGGCCTGTACGTGAACAAACATAGAGGAATAAATCACTATGGAAATAAATGCATCACAGTTGTGGTGCGATGCAGACTGACTCAGATCAAAAGACGTGGTTTTCCAATAAAGGCAGAACAAGCAGAGTCATACTCATGTAGTTAAAATCCATGATGCTCCAGATGACGTCGTCAATGTTGCCACTTTCTTCGTCCATGATGTCGACGATGTCTTTGGCCTCGGTGGCAAAAGACAACACGTGGAAATTCAACTTTACATCGTAACTGTCCAGCTGGAGAAAAAAATGAAGAACATGAGTGGGTTTCTTACTTGCTGAAAGAGGAAGACACATAAACTAGGATCATAAGTGCATCAAGGATTTCACTGTCAGGTCTCAGGTCGTCACGCTGAGCTCTTTCAATGCTGACCTTTCTGATCAGAGCAATGGTGGCATTCCTGGATTTCTCAAACTCCTCCCTTTCGATGCTTCCTGATGTGTCCAGTAAGATGTAGATGTGCATACGGCTGACTTCAGCCACGCGGAAGGTTCGGCCAAAGGAAATGCTTTCCTCTTAAACACACAAAGTGGATTTTTTCTTTTTTTTTTTGGCTTTTTGTTACTGATTATGTGTATTCCAATTATATCAAATGTGCTTAACATTTCATGGTAACCACCTTTCTTTTTGTCGTCAGGTGACATTACATCCATTAGTCCTGCAAGTGATCCTGTCATGGCTGCAGCCACAGCACTGGGGGAGTCAAAGGTATTTGGACCTGTGACAAAGCAACACATTGTTAATTTGCTGTCATGATGCTCAATTTTCTTTTCTTTTTTTGTTCTTAAAGAATTAATGTCCTGTGAAATTATAGGCAGAAAACTGTAAATTTAAAGCACCATGGCAACGTGGTTTTGATCCGCTCCATTCCCGGTGCTCCAGACAGAACCTTTCGGCCGACCCGAGCAGATCCAGACCGGTCTGACACCGGTAAGTCAACTTTTCTCCCCTGAAGAACCGGCCCCCTGACCTCAGGGCACCGGGTGGGATCCCCGGGTCGTCACAGTCATCAGCTGAATTTGCAAACAGATGCAAAAAATATAAAATAGTGATTTCTGGGAATTTCAGCATCTTTGAAAAGGCTTTTCATGTTTTCACTATTACAGTGACTAAAGAATTAGGTTTGATTATAAAAAAGCAACTATGTAGCATGTTGAAATTATGCAAATGGGCTTTTTGAGACATCAGAATATTTGCACGTCACAATGAAATAATATTATTATTCCAGTGTAAACTGCAGCATAAGCAAGTGTGATAAACTGGAAGAAGACCCGTGCAAACGTAAGTGGAGTTCCTTAAAATTTTATGATTCATACAGAAAGATTCGCTTTTTAATTTCTTCTTTTCTCACCATGGTTGTTACAGATGGGGGTTTCTCCCGTCCACTCCCCAGAGAGAGTGCAGTTTCTCTCAGCTGAGCCATAGAGGGTGAAGCCTTCCTGGCAGGAGAAGCTCTGTGTCGCCCCAACAGCAAACCACTGGTCCCTGGGCCAGAAGTCACCATGATCCAGCTGCAGCTGAGCCGGACACAGCACGTCTGGGTGAGAGGAAGATGTATGTGCACACCAGAATGGGACTGCTTTCATGTGTGTATGATACTGAAGGCATCATCATCATCATCAACATTACCTTTGCATGTGGCCCTAGATGCAAGCCTCCCACTGGCTAGTCTCATGGGCGACCACTCCCCTTGTTCTTCACATGTCCTGTAGCTAACTGGGGACGGGTATTTCCCTGGACCGCAGTGATAGGTCAGCACGCTGCCCACCAGCCCTCCCTGTCGAGGAAACAAACAGTTGTTTAAATAAACAGATTAGGTAACATGAGGTTTTCCAGTAAAGCCATGTCCCTGTTGCATCACTTGGATTTTATTTTATTTTTTTGTTTTTTTATCATAACCAGAAAATCAACTTTCTAATTCTTCTGTTGTCAGCAACATTAAAACTACGCTAAAACTATTAGAACTAAAACTGAATATTTACACTATTTAAAATGCTGTACATTTGCATTTTACTTAAACCTCTCACCCAGGTGCACATATTACTTGGAATTGGAATTACCTTGGAGTAGGTGACATGTCCACCTTTGATGCTCTCTGTGACCGAGCAGTTCACGGGCTCTTCATCATTGTACGCTTCATCTACATAGTCGTAGTCGGTCTTTTGCAGGGACCCTAGAGCGCACGCAGTGAAACTGTGGCTAACAAACATGCAGCTCTGCACGCACACACAGCACACTCGGGCATGTGGCACCAGTCCACACACATCTGACACAATCAAATGCACTTAAAAGTGAAATGCTCACCTCTATGGACCAACACGAGGAGGAGGATCCACAGTATAGACCTGGGGTGCATGGCTGGTCTCTGTAGCAACTTCTTTTTTACCTTTAAGTAACAGAAGCTGCAACAAGAGTGTTTCTATCGACATGCAGTCTGTTCCTTTATTTGATGACTGATTACCCATTAACACAGAGGACCTAACGGGAAGAGGAGGCATTGAGCAATTTAGGACAGAGGACAAATAAAGTCACTCACTTTTAGTTTTGATCTCTTTCTCTTTCTTCAGGATTGTCTGAGGTCTTGTTCTGTTCAGTGACACATTTGAAATACTTAGTGAACACAAACCAGACACCAAACCGATCACTGTGTCAGGGAATTTAAACTGTTAAAAAAATAAATGACTTGTTGGTTTATAATCTGTCAAACAAATATGTCAAACATATCTCTCATGAACGATATTGAGTCATTTTGACCAGAAAGAGCATTCCTATCACAAGATAGAAGTTTTTTGGAAAAAAAATATTTTTAGATTTCCTTTATTTATGTGGTTAAAAAAGACTCGCAGACAATAAAAATGTCTGTTTCAAAACAGATCTGACCAGAAGGGATTAGAACAAATATGGTAAATGGTCTGTATTTGTAAAGTGCTTTACTTGGTCCTAAGGACCCCAAAGCGCTTTACACTATACACAGTCATTCACACACTGGTGATGGCAAGCTACATTGTAGCCACAGCTGCCCTGGGGCGCACTGACAGAGGCGAGGCTGCCGGACACTGGCACCACCGGGCCCTCTGACCACCACCAGTTGGCAACGGGTGAAGTGTCTTGCCTAAGGACACAACGACCGAGAGCCAGAGGAGCCAGGGCTCGAACCGGCAACCTTCCGATTACAAGACGAACGCCCAACTCTTGAGCCACGATCGCCCCTAACATAACAATTCTATAAACACGCTTTAAGGGACCAAAAAGGACTGGATTCATTATGTATGTAAAACAATGCAGAGTCATAAAGATACTTTCAAAACAGGTCATTTTATTTACAGTATAACTCCTCCATACATCATGTTCACTGCAGTCTATTTAGCCAAGCCAACTTTATTTATAAAGCACTTTGAAACAGTAAATGCTGACCAAACATTAAGGACAGAATAAAATTACAGAAAAATAAATAAAATAAAATAATAAAACACAAACATGAATTAATAATAATAATAATAATAATAATTGATCCAAAAAATAAAAATATATATTTAAAACACAGAAGGTCCATAAAAAGCACAATTTTTAAAAAATAATTAAACTAAAACCTATTTTTTTGCATTATTTTTTAAAATGTTTTAATTATAAAAAAGAAAGAGATTAGACCTTTAAAAAAACACAAATATCATAAATCACTTCTTTTCAGATGATCCGCTTTTGGCACAACACACAGTTTCAGATCTCACAATCAGATGTCACTCCTTGCTGCTTCTCCACACTGAACGCTGCCGTCGTTGCTATGGCGCCATCTTACCCAGAATCCCTGTTCGATGACTGAGACTGCTCCGTCTCTGCAGCAGCGTTCTCGTGTGTTTGTGTTTGCTCACTCGGCTGTGCGCAGGTGCACATTTCAGTGAAACATTTTAGGAGCTTAAACCATCATTAAGGGGATTACCGAGATTTAACAGGGAGCCCCGCACCTCCACCCCAACCCAACCCCATCTTTGGCATTCCCTGCCCTTCTTCCCGCCTCCTCCAGGGCTCAGTCCTCTCACCTGACAAGGATTTGCTCAGCAATGTGAGCAAGTTTCTAAAACCTTTTTAACCAGGCACACAAACACACGTAAAAGAAAATAATAATAATTACTGCGATAAACTAGACAGACAGCAACCACAATCATCTCTACTGCTGAAGATCGGAATTTGATTGTACTTTTCTCTCATTTCTAGCAGTGTTTAGGCCCCATTTTTGATGGGGTCTAAACAAAGGACTGTGCTGTGCTGGGGGATTGAGTGCTGTAGGCTTTCACAGCTCATGTGGAGGTTTGCAGTCAGGGCAAAAAAGTGAACAATGACAAGAAAACTCAGGGGAACATCTTTAAAATTCCCTCACGGATAAAAGGATATCTTCAGGATCATATCCCAAATGGTTTCAGCACAACATTGGAGCCTTTAAGAAGAGGAGCGCACTGAGAGAGTAAAGATGTCTGAACTCAGCCAAGTCGCTGTATACCCTGACTCCTCAGACATTTATAAGGTGAGTAGGATATGTTGATTTTGACTCCCCATGTTTTTGGATTTTAACCGGATATGTTATGGAGCTACTGTGCCAATTTTCCTGGTTGTAGTTGGATTACCAAAATGGGCAAATGTTCTAAAGGCTCAGATCCCGAGCTTTAGTCAGCATCACTTGGACTTTAGTAATTTGTGGAAAGGCCTTATATCAAAATCTAGTTTTAAGAGCTTAAGGAGTTTGGTTTGAGAAAACAATCCCAGCTCAAGGCTGCTGTCGAGCTTGTTTTCCACAGCTGTCAGCCTTTAGAGTAAAGCCATTCAGCTGTTGTGGAGATTAATCTGTTTAGGGTTTCACTTCAGATGATGAAGACTGGGTAATATTGTTGAAACAAGAATAGAAAGGTAGTCCAGTGTAAAATGTCTGCACATTAAGTGACCCGCTAATAGGCTTAAGAGACCATGTTGGCAGTTATTGTCCTGCACATTCTGCCTCTGCTTTGAAACATGTGTTTGTAGTCTAGAAAACAAACGTTTGCTGTTTGAGTATACTGCAAATATATCTATGCCCACTGTGTGGCTTTGCAAACTCTGGCTCTTTCCTGGACATTTCTTATGATACTATAACGATTTGTTTGCTTTTTTGAATTTTTACAAAACAGCAGAGAAAAGTGTCTAAGCACACTGGTGATCTCACAAAGAAGTTCTTACCCGGCCATAGTTTAGTTTCTGTAACTTTTTCTCATTGCTGCTTTTTTTTTTTTTTTTTAGCAAGTCGCTAACTTTATAGCAATAACAAAGAGCAGGGTTCCCACGCAAACATCAGACACAATCAATAATATATAGACGCTGTTTACACTACTGAAAAGCAAATTTTTATATCTCAAACTTTCAACTCATTAACACAAGCTTCTGAGAAAATAATTTCGAAATTTTTCAGTGATGCAGTTAGAATATCCTTTTTTTTCTGTAGCAAAAACAAGCTTCCACAGTAACTAGCTGGTTAACATACCTGGACATTTAGCCACAAAGGAGTCAGATATCTGGCTAACCAGATCTGAAGGTAATGATGGGTCAGTGTCATATGAAATGTTATATGTAACCCGACCAGCAGTGAAATGGAACCATAAGATGTGTGTGTCTTCTAATAACTGAAGGTGTGTTTCGTTGCTTTTTATTTGAAAGCAGAGGAAGAGTTTAAAAAAAGCTGTTTTTAAAACCAGCACTTGTGTGAATCTTTGATTTTTACATCCGCAGAATGTCTTTTGCAATCCCGCCTTTGAGCTGGAGGGGGAGAAGGAGGAGAGGGTGGAGGGATTCAGGACATCCTCTTCTACTCCTGAGCCAATCAAACCGCCAGGAGCAAGTGAGTCAGCCAATCAGCTTGCTGCTTCTTGTGCCTCTACCCTAACGGCATCATTTTATCACTTAAGCTCAGTTTTGTTGAAATATAGGTAAATGTGGCCTCATGATAATTGTACTCAAGTTGTAAAAAGTGTACAGTTGATGCCTTCTTTAGCTATTCTCAAGGGAAACAAATCCCATAAACATATCATAGTGATGTTATTGGGTTATGTCAACTTTAAATAGACGTGGTGAGTTTGGAAGTTTTCAGTGATGTCCTTATTTCCAAATGAATGCATTTCCCAGAATACAGTTCTTGAAAAACAAAAAAGAAGAAAACAAAGTGGAATAAAAGAGATTACAGATGTTCTATGCATTTCTTTCAGGCCTAGTCTGGGGATTTTTTGGTGTGTGTGTGATGCGTGTGCGTGCTCCGGGCTGCGGTTGGGGGGTGGTAGTGGTCTCTGCTGCTGTCCTGCTCCTATTAGCAGCCCTAGGACTGATGCTGGTCCTCATTCTCACACGTGAGTCACTGCTGCACATCAACTGCTTCATTACCACAATCTCAAACTGATTAAAAGCATTGAGTGATTTCATAAACCCAGGATCCATGCTAAAATCTCAAAGTACATCATGAACTCACAGATACTGGAGTTTAAAGGTTTCTCAGCATGACTAGCTCTCACTGCACATCATAAAAATCTTCTGGCCCAGATGTATTTGCTTCCTTATTTAGAAATAAAGAACCAGGCAGTGGAGGATCAGGTGCTGACCACTGCCACTTCAGGCCTACAGCATGCAGGAGATGGACAGTCCCAAGCTTTACCTACAGTCCCTATCAGCAGAAGTAAAGAGGACAGTACAGCTGCACCACAACCTGCCAGAATCCCTCCATCTGAACCAAGTAGGTCTGGCCTCTCTACCCGAAATACTTTTTGTTGACCTAAGACACAAGGTCTCTCTCTCTCTGCCTCTCAGGATGTGGAGGTGTTTTAACTGACACTGAAGGAAGTTTCAGCTCTCCGAATCACCCTGCGTCCTACCCCCCAAACTCGCTGTGTGTGTGGGTGATTCAGGTCCCGCCCCCCTACCTTGTCCAGATTCATGTCTCCTCTTTGACCGTGGAGGGACCCTCTCCTTGCCTGTTTGACTGGGTGGAGGTGCGGGAGCAGATCGAGCAGACTTCTGTGGTCACCAGGTCAGTGGTCATGAAACATACCTTCTTATGAACATCATTCACACCTCCATATTTCCACAAGCAACATTTTTATACACGATCAGAGTAGGAGCATTATGCTGTTTCACTAAACTGCTGATAGATGGCGCCAAAAGCCTGTGCATCATTGGAAAGCGCTTCCAGGTACTGAAGGGTTTTTGGAAATTTTGTACATATCAACACGTTGACCTTTTTGCTCACATTCCTGGACAGGGTTGTAACGTGATTCACTAAATTCCTCTAACTACGTAACACATTTCCTGCTTACAAATCCTTTTAAGAATTTAGAGCTGCATGGCTCAGGCACAAAGTTTAATCCAAAGCTGAACAAGAATGAGACTGATCAAAAAGAAATGTCTCCCTTGCAGGTTCTGTGGTAACGTAGCGCCACCGACGGTCAACACAAACAGCAGTACGGTGTGGGTCACCTTCCACTCTGATGGCAGCATCGCAGGCAACGGCTTCACTGCCCAGTACAGGGCCGTACTCCCCGGACACAGTCAGTAGCCTGCATCTGGGAGCACATGCTTTCACTCTTGTATATGTTTTGCAACCATGTTCAAGTTAGCACGTTGTGTTTTCTCAGAAAGCTGCTCCAGAGAAGAGTTCATGTGCGACGGCGGCCGCTGCCTGCTGCCTGTGTCTGTGTGCGACGGTCATCCAAACTGCCACGACCAGATGGACGAGGCAAACTGCAGCCACAAGCACAAGGGTGAGAGTCCACGGATGGAACTGAAACAGAAACAGGAAAGGTCAAAGGTCACAATTGAACTCACTTTTATTTATATAACATCGGATCACAACTGTCACCTCAAGGTGCTTTATATTGGAAGATGAAGACCCTGCAATAACAGAGAAAATCCCAACAATCAGATGAACCCCTACGAGCAAACACTTGATAACAGTTGGAAGGAAAAACTCCCTTTTAACAGGAAGAAACCTCCAGCAGAACCACAATCAGGGAGGGGCGGCCATCATCTGCATCATAAGAATCCCCCAGCAGTTAGCCTAGTCTATTGCAGTGTAGCTAAGGGGGGATCCAGGGTCACCTGATCAATCCCTAACTATAAGATTTAACAAAAAGGAAAGTGCTAAGCCTAATCTTAAAAGTAGAGAGGGTGTCTGTCTCCCGAATCCAAACTGGCAGCTGGTTCCATTGAAGAGAAGCCTGAAAGCTGAAGGCTCTGCCTCCTTCTCTGCTTTTTAAATACCCTAGGAACCACAAGTAAACCAGCAGTCTGAGAGCAAAGTGTCCTATTGAGTTGATATGGAACTATGAGGTCTTGAAGAAAACATGGGGCCTGATTATTCAAGACCTTGTATATGTGGAGAAGGATTTACTTCAATTCTGAGATTAACAGGGAGCCACTGAAGAGATGCTTTTCTTTTTCACAGAATGCGGTGGGCAGAAGATTGGGCCGTATGGTTACCTGGCAAGTCCAAACCACCCCGGGCCTTACCCTCACCAGCAGGTTACATTCTAAACCATTCAAACTGAAAAATAATCCTAATAGTAATTGAAAACACAACATTATAAAGATTCAGAAGTACTTCCACATGCATAACGCATTCTCAGTCCGACAGCCACACCACACCACGCAGTTTTCTCCACTAATCTGATGTTTTCCAGTTGTGTATATGGCGTATATCTGTTGAGGAGGGTCACGTGATCACGCTGAGCTTCAGAAACTTCAGCCTGGAGACTCAGGATGTGTGCGAGTTTGACTATGTGGAGGTGCATGACAGCGTCAGCACCGGAGCTGGAAGAGTCCTCGGAAGGTGAGAAGTGCCACAGTCTTTTATTCTGAGGGTAACTAAGGACAAACACACTTACCTTCGTGCAAGTTAAACAACCAGTTTTCTGGAGTACCTTTTGTGTCTCTTCTCCCTTTGTGCCAGGTTTTGTGGTACCACCTTCCCCCCAGAGCTGACCTCCTCTGGCCCTCACATGACAGTGGTGTTTGTGGCTGATGAGGGAGTGGCCGACAGCGGCTTCAATGCAACATACCAGGCTGTGTCCGTGCTGGGCAGTGAGTTTTCATGCTTTAATATTACAATTTTTTTTTGCATTAGCTTTCTATAAACCTCTTCTACATCCTTTTTATTTTTAAAGGGACATGCGGCCCCAGGCAGTTCGCCTGCAGCACAGGGGAGTGTGTTCAGCAGCAGTGGCTGTGTGACGGCTGGAACGACTGCCCCGATGGTGCGGATGAACAGGGCTGTGGCAACTCCACCTATCCTCCCTTTAGTGAGTCTGGTTTATCTCTGACCTCAATCACAGCCAGTTTTTGTTTCCACTGCCAATGAAAAGCAGCAGGAAGAAACTTAAGTGTTGAAATAACAGGAATTGCCGATGGCTTCATATTCTGGGAAAACCGCCAAATCGAAATGTTACCACTTTTCACCTCTATGTCAACATGGTTTTGTGGTTTCTATTTTATAAGTGTTTCTCTGAATGAATAATTTCCTCTCATGAAAGTAGCCTCGTCTTGTGAGCACATTGAAGTAGAGATGTGTCGGGGCCTCAGCTACAACTTCACCTCATTCCCCAACATCTGGCTGTCCATTGCTGACCAGAGAGAAGCTGCCACCCTCCTGGGACAGTATCGGGTAAAAGTCACATCAAAAAGCTTCATCGGACATCTGGAGCTGTAGCTGGCAACTGTATCAAACCAGGCATCAAACCATCCTCCCTCCCCTCCTTTTGTCATCCAGGTGCTGATGGAGCTGGCGTGCTTTGAGCCTCTGCAGAGGCTGGTTTGTGGGATGTTTCTGCCCCAGTGTAGTCCTCAGGGCGGCGTCCTCCAACCCTGCCGCTCAGTCTGCTCCTCGGCCGAGCAGCAATGCAGCCAAGCCCTGGATCTCTTTTCCTTCAGCTGGCCCTTCAACTGCCACCTTCTCCCAGACTCACAGGACCCCTTGGAGTGCTCACTGCCTTGAAGCTGGGACAGTCCAGTTACCTTTGAGATCATATCAGGCCCATGCAGGAAATACCCGAGCGTTCGAGGACCTTACTTACCTTAGTGGAAACAAAGGTTTACAGTTTTAAACACAGTTTGTAATACATGTGCTCAGTATATATGAGACCACATGCAGTTTTGAAGTAGACAGCTAAGTAAAATGAAAGCTTTCGATCTCCAACGGGAATCAGACTGTTTTACTGTAAATTGCCGTATTTATTTAATGCTTTGATGTCAATCTTGTAAATTAAATAAACCATGCAGAGAAAATGTGTTTAAAACAAAGTTTATTGCATTGTTCTTCAACACACCACATCACTCCTAAATACTCGGATTACTTCAGTTGATCTAATGTTAGCTAACACAGGAAACAGGCTGTCACAGCGGTACTTTGCTGCCCTGACAAACATTTAACAATTCAGTCATGTGACATAATTGATCTGAGAAAGCAATTCACTGATTTTATTTCAACCCAGGTGGTAACTTTTATTACAGAAATAATTAAAATTTCAAGACTTGCCTAAAAACGTAAAGAGTTTGAATAAGAATCACTCGGTGTAAAATTATAACGTTGACCCACCAGGTTCACGTTCTTCCTTAGAAAAGCTTTTTTAAACAATCATACAAATTTAAGGCTCAGAAAGTGCACTAGCAGAAAGAGCTTCTTCCTCACTCTTCCAAAACAAAAGCGGCTGTATTAAACTATTTTGGATTTGCTCAGATTCACTTGGTGCAAAGCTTATATTTGTCAGAATAATCCTTCAGTTGTTGAGTTCAGTTGTTGTGCGCTATTATGGAGGGACAATGAGTTTCAGGGTATGGTCTAGGGCAACAGCAGTCAGGCCCCACACTCGATGTTTGCCATTCCTAAACACCGGAAGAGTGTATCCGTATTTGTCACCGGTGCGGAAGTGTGTGTAACCTCGGTTTTGGGGGTTACACAAGTGAGACAAGGACAGGGTGAAGATCTCATCCACCTGGAAGCGGGAAACAGACTCTCAAACTTTTGGCATTTTTATTCGATTCAGCTTGAGTAATTATATTTTTAAAAATTGTCCAGCTCCTTGGAAGCAAAATATAAAGCAATGAGGAGTTGCTCAAGACTTCTGCACAGTACTATATATTAGGGTCAAGAATAACATGAGACTAGTCAACTCTAGTCTCATCCTGTTCTTTTCAAACAGACAGAAAATGGCAGATGATCGTACCTCCCCGGGGTTTGGTTTGAAGTTCAGCTCCTCTAGAGGACCGAGGTTAGCCAGCACAGGAGCAATAACCATCCCCGACTGGATCGAAACACATGAACAGATTTTTAATTCAAATTTATCTCAGATATTCGATGTTTTTGAAGGTTTTTACTGAAATTCCTGCTCATTTCTATTTTATCTACTTGTATAAGGAATCTCTGGGTATTTTGGGCAGATGGTCAGACCAAATAATCAACACAGAGCTCTTACAATGTCACATAATCATTTTTCACCATTATTTATCAACCAAACAATGAATTTACAAAAAGAACAGTGACTCTAAGTGCTTATTTAGGGTAATATAAATATGGTATGATTTTGTCAATTATTTTTTAATATGCATTTCTACTTGAGATTTCTCGTAGAAATGCATAGCTCCACTCACCGCATCTCTTAGTGGCTTCAGGACACCCCACACCTTTTCTATTCCCACATTTACACCCAGCTCCTCCCTCGCTTCCCGCAATGCTGTGGCCACCACATCACTGTCTGAAGGATCGCTCTTTCCTCCAGCAAAGCTGGACAAAAAAAAAAAAGAAAAAAAGAAAAAGAGGCAGGACACATAAAGTACTCCAATAAGTCAGATTTAAGACATAGCCTGCTTCTAATCTACCACTAACCTGACATCTCCTTTGTGCCTGCCCTTCAGAGTGCTGGACCGCAGGGTGAAGAGAAATGCAGGCTCCCCATCAAGAGAGCAGAGGGAGACCAGGACGGATGCCCATCTCTGATTTCCTTCTTTTCTCCCCTTCTGCAACTTGTAGAGCTTCAAGTTAGGCCCCAAGTGCTGTCGACATCTGTTTTCATTCCCAAGGGATAAGCAATCTCTCCAGGTATCCGACACGCACGTGGCAGCCTGATGAGTAGCTATGGTTTGGTGGAAACTGAGGCTAGGGAGTTGTGGTTTATTGTGCTTGTTTTCTAAAGTCCAGGGAATATGTGCTGACAAGCTGAGAGGTCTAACGAAGTCCTGTCCATGAGTTAAATGGCTTTGAAGAAGGCTACACTGAGTCTTCCTGGTGTGGCTAAAAGAAGGCAGGCGAAAGTCCCAAGGTCTTCTCCAGCACTGAAGGCAGGTTATTTTGACTAAACAGTTCCAGTAAGTGCGCACAGGATCACACACTTGTTTGGTTTTTGTAGAGGCAGAATGGTGGTGGTTTAATAAAATGGCTTTGGATAGAAGGTTTTCAAACCGTGTCTGTCTCAGCTTATAATTGAAGCTACAAGAAGATACTGGTGCTGAACTATAAACAGTCTCTGTGGATGGTCCATCCTTGTGGGTGCCTGTTCCACTTATTTCTGGGTGTCTCCTTCCTTTCTCGTGACTTGCTTCCTGCCATCCAGCACATGTGATCTCGGAAAAACCACAGAGATGAGAGTCTCTTAACAGCTGTAATGATCTTTTGGGGCAAGACCACGTCAGAATCCGAGAACTTGGCAACATCCTATAAAAGGAAACAAAACGTACAGATATTATCGTAAATGTATTAGTCAATTAGTTGTGTTCATCAGCTAGTTAAACCAACTTGAAAGGGGTGAAAGATGAACCAAAATCTGCTCGTCTCTGCCAGCAGGGGAGGTGAGCGATTAGATAACATGGGTAAACAGGGCTGAAGATACCCTGGCTTAACCGAGGTCAGAGGCTCACCCAAACCTACCTACAGTAATACTGGTCACTGTGCTCTCACTGTCATATCTCGGTGTTACGTTTAACTGCTGTTCAAAGCTGTTAAGACACAGAAACGTATTTCATATTAGCTTCAAATACGGAGTTCACGTTTGGCTCAAGTTTCTCCCAAACTTTGGTTGTTAGCTGTAGCTGGCTGTATTCATTTGTTAGCAGTGATGACGATATATATATAAAATATGACATTGTCAATGTTCAGACTTCCTCATCGCCAACTAAACCCATACAAAGAAGGCTTTTTAGGCGAGAAAATCTTCAGTGTCTTCAAAACGAGTAAGGAGCGCACGCAGGCTAACTGCCCGAGCGATCAAAACAAAAACCAAATAGCTGAAGTAGCTCATACCCCAAAGCTAACACTCAGATTTGGCTTATGACAAAGCCCCAACGTGTTTCACGGTATGTCAGAAAACACACAAAGGTGCCAAGTATGACAGTAAAACGTCATTTTAACACAGAAAAGGCTCACCTTGAAAGTTGAATCAGCAGCTGCTAGGCGGCTGCCGGCAGTCAATATGGCGCCGGCTAGCTTCACTTGCGTCAGTGTTGCCCTCACTACGTCGTGATGACGCCAAACTAATTGCACAACATTCAAGCTTAGCCTGGTGTGCTTTCTTTGTCCCCTCCCGAGGTTTGGTTTTAAGACACGACGTTTACGTTATTTAGTGATTAAATCACGAGGAAAGCACCAAATGATGTCAGTGTATGTAACAGGTTTTTAAAACCAGTCCTTCTCGTTTGGACTGTGTAGGCCCGCTTCCTTTACAGAGACTAAAACAGGCACTCTTTACAGTTTTTTGCATATGGGCAGACTGCCTGGCAAGAATAAATGTGACAGGATGATTAAACTTAATTAATTCGTTTGAGTAGCAAAAATTAACAGCAAAATTCATTTTTCCATTAGGAGGCTCCAACAAACTGTTGAAACCCATGATGTCAGATTGATAGACTCCTCACTCCACCTGTTTAACCAGCCCCACCCTGAGCCGTTTCTTCATGTTTTAAGCAGCAGGTGATTCATATGAACTGGCATTTTAGCCTCGTCATTTGTTGGGCGTCATTGCTTTAATTTCTCTGACCTGCTTGCTGTAGTATCAGGTCTGTAACTTCACACAGAGAACTTTGTGATCCATACAAAGAAAGTTCAAGCTCATCTCCTCCCAGCGAGCATGGCCTCAGGTTGGACTGAAGAGGAAAGCTTTGCCTGTCCAGTATGTCTGGAAACCCTGAAGGATCCGGCCACTCTACCCTGCGGACACTCATACTGCTTGGCTTGTATTCAGAGCCACTGGGACAAAGGGGGCAGCAAAGGTCAGTACAGCTGCCCCCAGTGTAGGCAGGTGTTTAACCCTCGGCCCTCGCTGGCCAAGAGCACCCTGCTAGCAGAGGCTATGGAGAAGCTGAGGACCAACAGCCTGAAGCAGCACTCCTTCACAGCTCCTTCCCCCGGCCCACCATCCATGCCGGTCTATTTGGAGGTCCAGCCAGATACAATGCAACGAAAGGGCAGCGTGTACCCACAGCTTCCGTCTGTGGAACCCAAACCCTGCCACCAACACGGCCGACCCCTGGACCTGTTTTGCCATGACGACAGGGAGTGTGTGTGTGAGGTGTGTTGCCAGCATGGACACAGGGGACACCGTGTTGTCAAACCGAGAGACGAGAGAAAAGAAAGACAGGTGTGTAATTGGAAGTGATTATTTCAGGTGATATTTTCACTCTGCTTTTTTTGTTTGTTTGTTTGTTTGTTTGTTTGTTTGTTTGTTTGTTTGTTTGTTTTTGGTCTCTAAACACTTTTAAAATGAAAGTAAAATGCGGGTAAAAGAAATACACAAATGCAGTACTAACTAAAACATTTCTTAAGCTAATCTTGAAGTACTTGAAAAACAAGTCTGAAGTGCGCCTTACTGATGTTTTACTGATTCCCAGCAAAACTATGTGACAATATCACAAATAGCCTGTACAGTCTCAAGTACGGTCATTACTGCCTCACAATGTATGTGTGCATGTGTTTGTGTATAGAAAGAGCTTGTTCAGATGCAAGCAGAGGTACAGAGGAGGCTCCAGGAGACGGACAGGAAGATTAAGGAACTCCCACATTTTGCACGTCAAGACAAGGCATGTAGAAAACCTTATTAATTCATGCCATCCTTGTTTACTTTGTCACCTCTGTTTTGTTTTTTTCAATGTGTCCTCATCTTGCTTGTCTACACTACCAGGCCTTGGTCCAGGCTCTAGAGAAGGAGAGCACAGATTTATTCATGGAGCTAGCCAAGAACGTGAATCTAACAGGCACCCAGGTCAGCGAACTCCTCTCTACCCACGAGGCCTCTTTAGGCAGCCAGGCTGAGGGGCAGCTCAACAGACTGGAGCAGCAGGTTGCACAGCTCAACTGGAAGAGTGAAGAGCTGAGCAGACTGGCTGACATGCAGGACGATGTCTGTTTCTTGAAGGTAACGAGTGTGAAGCGGAGTGCACATATTTTAGTGCTAAACTAGATCTGTAGTCTCTGACTGTGGAATTTGTGGTATTTGTTCTCAAGAACTTCCTCCTCATGGAGCCGCTGGTTCAGACTGATGCCACAGTGATTGGGCAGGAAGAAACCATGGTGGCGTCAGTCCGCTCAGTCATGAAAGAACTGCAGGAGTCAGTTCAGGATCTCTACAAAGGCAGCCTGGAAAAAATCATCACAATAGGTCAGCTCTTCTCTTCTAGTCTCTTCTCGTCTTTTCTCTTCTCTTAATAACAAAAGGTCAAAATTTTCCTTTTGCAGTGAATAACCCCTTGGCTTTGACTACCAGTGGTCCGGAAGCAGCAGGCCCGCTACCAGCAGGCCCAGTACCAACAGGCCCAATACCTGCAGACCTGCTACCAGCTCAGGTTCCTGCCCAAAGTACAGGTACGTTAAATACCAGTCCAATAAAAGTACAAATGAGCTTTGTTTTGACTGTTAGCTTTTGATTGTGGAAAGGACACCTTTTTACATGTAAACCCTTTTCTTCTGTAGTGTATGAAATGAAAACAGACTCTCCACCCTTGCCACCTTTGCGACCTCAAGGTAAAACATGCGCACGCACACACACACACACACAGAATATACTTTAATGTGGCATTTGAAAAAACGCTGAGTTATTTTACTCTTGTTTTTATTTTTTTCCCCTCAGGGCCTCTGCCTTCAAGGTCTGGTGGTTCTGCTTACATTCAAGGTAATGCTTGAAAAAGGTTTCTCTAATGTTGGCTGTCATAGAGTTTAGATATGCTTTAGTTTAACTGTTCTGTTTGTTGCTTCTCCCTGTCTCTCTGTGAATGAAGCTTCAGCCCCACCTCCACCCTTGCCTGCTCCTCGACGTCAAGGTAAAAGCACAAACATTATCATGGAAGATATCCACGTCAGGCAGTTACCCCGTCTTGTAGGAGATAAAAGCTGGCTGTGGACAGCTTTGCTCACCTGATCTTTCACAGATACCTCTTAGAGCATCTTGGGGTTAAATGTTACTTTTCCTTTTTACAATGGTGTATTTGTTTTCTGCCTTAACAGCTTCTGTATCATCAGTGGAATTTATGAATCCAGAACCAAAAAATCGAGATGAACTCATAAAATGTAAGTCTTTTGTACTCCAGAATACAGACCCCTTTATTTAGCCTTCGTTTGTTCCAGAGTGTTAGCTAAAATGACAAATCCTCTTTCTTTAGTTCGTTTCGAACCTACCATGGACCCCAACACAGTGTATCGCCACGTGCTGCTTTCGGATGGCAATCGTAAGGCAACGATGCGGGCTGAGAACCTGAACCCACCAGACCATCCTGATCGATTCCAGTTCTGGAGACAAGTTCTCTGCAAAGAGCCGCTGGGAGGGAGCCCTTATTACTGGGAGGTGGAGTGGACTGGCCAGAAGGTGCTTGGATATGATTAAAAACAAATATATGTTTTCAACTGTAACTGTTTGAGTCGTAGAATTAGTTAACATGTTTCGTTTGCCCAGTCAGTGCTAAGTGATGGTTATGAAAGAACTCTGTTGCCATAAAAGTCTTCAAACCTAAAAGCAAAATAGAAGTCTCACAATAGTAAGTCTGACTAAAGAAGGCTTAAATCAAAATTCTATGTCCTACCATTCCTTTTAGGATAGGTTTTGGCTATAAAACATTTTTAGTTTTATATATTTTAATTAATAGAAATGTTTTTAAGGATTTCATTCATGAAGCCAGCATTTGTCTACACAGGTAGTCTGGTAATGGAGGGAACTGCCCTTTGTGTTCCATTTTAATTGGCTAATGGAATCCATGTATACAGAAATTTCAAAGGAAACCAATCATTTCAATTACTTTCTGCCTGGAAAGTAATTCATTTTCTCACACAATGCACAGAGTTGCATCATAGTTTATGCCAAGTCATACTGTATTCGAGTACCAGAGAGGCCCTAAAGACAGCAGTGCTATAAATAAAAAAAAATACTGACATTTCTATTAGTCACGGCTGCGCTCGTTAAAAGACAGAATCTGTTCGACATACATATTTGTCATATGTTATTTTTATTTTTTATTTTTAAAAAAGATCCACATGACCTCCAGTTCTGAAAAGCTGTTTAATGCACTTGTGCGCTTGTGCATTAAACAGGTTTTCTTTTAATAACCAACAGGGGGCGACTCTTCTGATTGCAAAAGAAAAAGTAACATTGTATAAAAATCTATGAAAACTTGATCCTACTTTTGAATTTATTTATGACCTTGATACATATATTCTTAGTCATCTTATGGTCTCAATTTCTAGTTTAAAGTTTTGTTGTTTTGTTGTTTCCTTTTTTTTTTTTTTTTTAATATAACAAAATTTTAACTTTTAAAATTCTGATCTCATCCAGGTTTCAGAATTTGGTCACCTTGTGAGTGATTAGTTGCTACCATATGAGTGTGGAATGAAGTCATAAACTTTAAATTTTTATTTTATTACATTTTTTTAAAGTGATTAGCAAACGACTCTTACATTTGTGCCCCTCACTGAATTTATTTTCCTCACTCCCATCATGCAGGTCACCATCGGAGTTTCCTACAAAGAGATAGAACGCAAGAGTAACGATGACAAGAGCCGTTTGGGCCACAATGAGCTGTCTTGGAGTCTGTACTGGTCTGGGAGCGGATTTTCCTTTTGGCACAATAACCAGGAAAAACTGCTGGGTGCACCAAAGGCCAAACGGATCGGCATCTACCTGGACCAGCATGTAGGGATTCTGGCCTTTTACAGCATCACCAAAAACCAGGCTACCCTCATCCACAGACACCAGCAGCAGTTCACTGGCCCTCTGTTCCCAGGATTCAGATTCTGGGCAAGAGTAGGTGCTACAGTAACTATTTGCCAATTAGACTGATGTGCACAAGAGTAATTATCTGATGTTTTTGATTAAAGATGTTTATCTGGCTGCAAGGATGTAACAGCTTAAGGTTTTTAAAAAGGATGCTCTGGAGAGAACTAGTTCAGTCAGTTCTTGTTTACATAATGATTTTGCACCAATCATGATTCATATAATATAAATTAATTTAAATATGTCTATGTAAGTAAATAAAAGATTAATAAACTTGCAACACATACCTCTGTGATCTGTTTTAGCTTTTTTTTTTTAAGGAGTTGACTGACTGTATCTTATAGCGCATTGGGTCTATTTCTTCCTTCTTATGTGACCAAACACATAACCAATATAATGCTGATCTTCTCTATATCTCACTGACCTTTATGCCTAGAGCTTCCCCTCCATTCTGCACTTACAATATATTTGGTATTCCCATATTTATTTAGATCTTTCTCCACACACAGATACGATGAGCTGAAAAGTCCTGATTTGTGTTTGGTCTGTTTAGGCTTAACTCTGGTTCTTCCTTACTGACTTGTTACTCTTCCGAAGGAAACTCTTGTGTAAGTCTTTTCTCTCTCAGTGCAGATATTCAGAAATTATCTTGCTTTGCACTAGTTAGTAATCAAACACTATTCACAGGAGAACAAGGAAGATCTCATTTTACATATTTTGGCAACAGTTTGTTGCAACCCTGCCCTGATTGAAAAAGTTGGACACATTAAATACAACAAATCCCAGCCTTCTAAGATAACAACATATGCTTTAGAATGGCACTGTTCCCATATATAAAAATATACTACAGTATTATTGGTTAAACCTGGTGACGCTAGTGTTGCACTCATTAATACGAACACAAAAGTATATTCAGTGCAAAATGACTAAGCATGTACTTGTGGACACAAAGTAAAAACACTTCCCTTTTTTTGTCCCAGAGGAGAGGTGATACCTGACCTACAATGACAACAAAAGACCTGGGAGGTGCACATGTTAGCGTGCTGTTAGCAAGATTATCTGAGGTGAGACTAGATATGGTTAGAAAAAAGATGCAACTTTAGGAAACGCACCTGCTGTGAGGTAAATGTTTTGAGTTCCATATCTCACTTCTTTGCCAGCTGTCATTTTAATCTGAATTTAGACACAGAAAATGACACAAATAATACTGCCTAAGGGAAGCATGTATAATATAAACAGAACTGGTCCTAGGGCAGAACCCTGTGGAGCTCCATTATTAACCTTACTGTGAGCAGAAGGTTCCCTACTTACATGAACAAAGTGGATGGATGGATTGATGGTTGACTGATTGACTGACTGATTAATTGATTGACAGGATGAAGGTGACTGATCTGCAGGCTAACTGTTAGGTGGCCGTAGAATCCTGAGAACATTTTCCCTGGTTTTCTGCTGTATGCTACTGACTGAGTTAAGGAAAAATATAACTGTAACTGTTATTGAAGTACAGTAGTTTTATTATTCTTAGATTCATCACAGGTCAAAGAAAGCCCAAGAAAGTCTGCAGGTGACACATGAAAAAGCATTAGGGCAGACAAGTAAAACCAATCTGCCAAAAGTAAGGGGAAAGTGAATCGTAAGTCACTGTAATGTGCTAATGCACATGATCATTATAAAGAAGAGCATTGAATTTTAAATACAGTGATTCATATCTGGAGGTAGACTGTAATTTAATGGGTTGTTTACAGTTTAAATGGGTGTTTTCATACAACATTCAGCTGTTGTAAATACTAATGAGTAATTATAATAAGTAATAAGTAATTGTAAGCTTTCATTTCAGCATAGAAAGCAATACCCCTGTTTGCTCAGTATAAAGCTATTGGAAGCTGATAATTAGCAGAGATTAACAGAAAGGCTTTAAACATGAGACACACTGTGGTTCCACTGTATTGCTATTTGTGTGCCTCTATACAGATTTCTACTGGGCGTTAAGCAGGTACGCAGTGGCCACTGGCCACCCAATCAGCTCGTACAGGTTCTGTGTTGAGTCACACGGGGCTTACACGTGTCTTAATTTTTCTGCCATCAAAATCTCCACATTGGGCCCTCTTTACTGAATAGCCTGTTTTTCAGCAAAGAAAGCAAAAGCTTGTTTTTATTTTGTCTATGGCTTGCATAGACGTCTTCAAACACAATTAAACATATTTCCCTCTTTTTCAGTCTTTCTACTAAGCAAATTACAGCCACACAGTCATGGCAATTGTATCAATCATGTGATTCCAAAGCGACCAAGTATATAGTCCACAGCATATAATTATTTAAATAATTCAACAGCTTATAGTGGTGCAGCACTCTAATATTGATCCGCCCAAACAAATTGGTCTGGACTGAAATAGTTCATCAGCATAAGGTCCAGTTTTGGTTTATGTGAATGAATGAATGTCTTTTAGTTGTACTTTAACTATAGGGTTAATTAGAAAGTGATAGCATGCTAACATGGTAAGATGGTGTACATGATTAATGAAATGTTTGATCATAAATATGTTAGCATTGGCATTAGGATTTACCTCAAAGCATTGCTGTTTTCTACCTGGCTCTAACAACATGCAGATGAGCTTCCTTGTAGGACTACTGGCAGTCAGAGGGTCGTGCTGATCTCAGCAGTAGCTAAATGAAATAAATCCTGCTTACAATCAGCACAGTCTTTCCTTCCAAAAAGGCAGGTTTGTTGTTTGTTGTTTGTTTTTAACTCAATCATGAACATGGAGAGTGCAAAAACAATTTTTAGTAATCTAACTAGAAAAAAAAAACTATTTCAGCTGAGCATCTCTATGAACCATGATGTCTAACGTCTTATGAGAAAACACAAGCAGAAATGAAAAATTGCTCATAGCAAAGATATGTGTGTAACATCAAACAAGGCACCCTGGAGCAGCACTCACACATAAGCTGTCTGTCAATGTGTGGATTTGAGAAAATGAGAGCCTCTAGTGATGAAAAAAAAAGATTCATCTTGAGCTATAAAGTCACAGAGGGAAAGGGGATGATCAACAAATAAAAAAGAGAGAGGAGGAGTCTTGTGAAAAGAGGTTACAAGGGAGGGGCTTTTAGAAAACTATATATCCATTACTTTCGTGTCATGATCAGTCAGTGCAAACTTCCACCCTTCAGAAGCATCATCATTTGCCATATATCAGCATCAACATGAGAGGTGAGACTAGATGGACGCTGTATCTACATTGACATAAGCTTTTGGAGGAAGATTTTTTAATTGCTAATAACATTAATGGATTTAGCTCAGGTTCAAAATATTCAGACTCTAGTAGGCAAGAAATACAAAAAAAAGGACTAAAGACTGCATGTTAGAATTTTAAATTTAGTAAAATAAACCATGTGAAAATGAAAAGTATATTAGAAGAATTTTTTACATTTTGGGATGTTGAATGTCTCCAATTAAGCTCGTCAATTCCACAAATTGAAAAAAGGTAGAAAATAGTAGTGGTTTAGAGTCAGTTCAACATTTCAAAATAACAAAGATGTCTGATGCCCTTTTTTTTCTCCAGCAATTGTATTGCTGTGTCTGCTGCATGCAGCTTTCGGTCAGGACAGGTTTTCCTGGCACGGACCTTCTGAGAATCCACCGCAGCAAGCCCCCGTTCAAAGCCAAGGTGAGAGGCTGTTAAATAAGAAGGTCTGCATTTATGTCTCAATATAGCTCTGCATGTTTTTACCTGAAAACCTACTCATCTGTGTGTGTATGCAGTGTGTGTTACTGACCAGGCGTCGTGCGGCTGCTGTCTAATGCAGAAACAAATTGGCAGGTTGGAGAAGTTCTTTAACATGAGCATTAACAAACTGAAGGACGAGCTCATGAGCTCCAAAATGATCCTCAACAATATGAGAGGTGAGTGACATCAAGTGGCCAATAAACTAAAAGTCGAAGCTGATAGATTTCTCATTTCGCTAAGCTATTTCTTCTCTGCATTTCCAGGAAGCCGCAGCGCCTTCTCCGTCGCTCTAAACAACAGCCCAGCCATGGCCTTCTATGGCCCCTTCTCTAGTGATAACATAATTAAGTACAAACATGTCTTCATCAACTTGGGAGACGGCTACAATGTGGAGACTGGCATCTTCACCGTGCCCCGCTCCGGTGTCTACAGCCTCTCCGTCACGGTTTACAGCTCTGCTCGCGTATCCTTGAGCAACTGCGTCACTCTGCAGGTTAACAGCAAAAATGTGGCTGACGCCATTGAAAAAAGTGGTCAGGACCTTGAAGACAGCACCAGTGTTGTCGTGGCTGTGCAGCTGAACGCCGGGGACCAGCTTTCTGCCAGGCTGCACCAAGGATGCTCCTTAAGCGACGACATCAACCACTACAACACTTTCACTGGTTTTCTGCTTTATGCTTCTGATTAAGTTGGCATAGTGTAGCCACTGTGTGCTTTGTACCAACGTTTGCCTAATACAGCCAAAATGTAAGCCTGCTAGATGAAAATTTTCTATGGTGACATCAGTGACTTGTTTTGTTCTTTCTGAGATTGTATGTCATTATGCTGAAGAGATGTTTCTTAAACACTCTTATGTGGATTTACCCTTGAATTACTACAGTTGTATCTTTTTTTTTTAGACTGCTGAAGTGTCTTGGCTATAACTGTTATTGATTTTGATTTAGTTATAAATGTTATATTACTTGTCTGTGAAATCTGTCAAGCCTATAAAAATGATGAAATAAATCAGATCTTTAAAAACACACAGATGCCTTTGTTATAATTTTTTGATCCATTCTGTAACAAATAAAGCAAAGTTGTAATGGTGGTACTAGCATAGTGTGCTGTTCACAATTTGAGTGGAAAATAAAGGATTTATAATCATTATCTTCTTTGTGAAATAAAAAGATAAGCTGAAATAAATGCTATTCCACACCAATGAAATTCCCAATAAGTCCTGTGATGGCCTAGCAACCAGCGCAGGGTGAAATCCACCTCTTGCCCAAATCAAATGATACTTGTGTACTGGCTTACTACTCCTCAAGTTGAGCACAATTTACGCACACTCTAATAGATTCGTCAAGGGTTACGTTGGGGGTATGTGTGTTTGCCCAAGGATGCCTTGGAGGACCAAGAACTGATGCAATTAGTAGACAACTCACTTGAGTCTACCCTCTATCTTAAATTTGATAGGATGGATGGATGCCTTCTAAATAATGGGCAGCATGGTGGCATGGTGGTTAGCACTGCTGCCTCACACCAAGAAGGTCCTGAGTTCAATTATACCACTTTTTGTTGGGAGTTTTTATGTTCTCCTCATGTTTGCGTGGGTCCTCTTGCTTCCTCCCACAGTCCGAAGCCATGCACTTAGTGGGGATATGTTAATTGGAAAGTCTAAATTGCCCATAGGTGTGAATGTGAGTTCAAATGGTTGTCTTTGTCTATGTGTTAGCCCTGTGACAGACTGGCGACCTGTCCAGGGTATCCAGGGACAGCTGGTCCGTACCAGAGACCCTTAAAAAGGATAAGCGGAAGCGGATGGATGACTTAAAGCAAGGTTTAATTGTGTCCTAAATTGCAACAAACAGTGCAGCATTAAAATATATTATTGGTGTATGTAATTCTGAATACATTCTGTAGCTAATTAAGATGCTGTTTATACAATGTAACAAATCATGTGAAACTACGAGTACTGGCAGCTTCATTTGTCACCAGGAAACTTTCATTTCACTCTAATCTACACAGATTATTTCCTAATGTAAAAATTATCACAGCACTATACTGTATAATATACACAGTATAACCCTGCAGTGTAGAACGTTGCTCCAGTCTTCCTACTATATACATATATTCTCACGTTCAGTGAGAGACTGAGATTACCCAAAAGCACCACTGAACGACACAGGAAATCATTCCTGCCTGTGGCCATCTCCCTGTACAACTCATCCACCTAACACACTGTAAACTGCAATAGCTACACCCTTTTTGCACATGCTCTTCTTTCTTATTCAGATATTTATTAGTAAGGGACTTCTATGTATGTATATATTGTGCTATTTCTTACTTGTTGTATTGCCTGTTTTTGTTAACTGTTTGTACTGGAGCACTGTAACCAACATAATTTCCCCTAGGGATCAATAAAGTATTCTGATTCTGATGTATGCCATGTGTATAAAGCCCTTCTAACACATTTCTGTTGGACCAAAAATATGTCAACTTATCTATCACACTGAAAGCACAAGCATGTAAAATGACAGTGCTTTTTTAAAGGCAGGTTAGAACTGTGCATAGAAAAGTACACTAGACTATCAACCAGCACTTTACACCTTGTCTGCTAATGAGAACACACTGACACCTCACCGGCATCCACAACAAAGCCTTAGAGTCAGGGTGTGTACCTGCTTCTGTGTGATTTTTAAAGCTGAGATCAAGTGGTGATGATACAGCTTTATCAGTTGCACAGGTAAAAAGGACAGGAAAAAAACCCAAGAAGGGGCGTTGTCAAAGTTGGAAGGCAATAAGGGAGGAGCGCTGTGAAAAATATATATCCATGACCCTTTTTGAGCTCATCAGTCTCTCTTACCTTTCATTCATTCATGAAGCTGCCATCATTTAGTGTCAGCATGAGAGGTGAGTCTACGTTTACACACAAAACAGGTATCTAGTAAGTAGCTCTTTCTCTTTCTTAATTGGTTTATCTCTTTCACATTTTTCTCCACAGCTCTTGTACTGCTGTGTCTGCTGAATGCAGCGTTTGCTCAAAACGGATATTCCTGGGACGGACCCAAAGAAGGCGGCCGGATTGCTCCAGATCCCGACCCCAACGCAGGCAGTGGTGAGGAACTGTGACTGCACAAAAAGTGTGTGCACATATATTCTCTGCTGCAAGTGTGTTAATGTGTCTTTGTGTTCAGCATGCAGCACGGACAAATTCTCCTGTGGTTGCTGCCTGATGGTGCAAGAGGTGAACAGGCTGAAGACCTACTTTAACAAGAGCATGACTGAGCTGGAGAAGGATTTCCAAAAGACAAAAGAAAGTCTCACGGTGGTTGAAGGTAAGTGATCAATAATAAAGGACATAACAGCAAAACCAGATTTTTGCATTGCTAACACACCATCTCCCTTTTGCATTTCCAGCCAGCCGCGTTGCCTTCTCTGTCTCTCTATTCAGCGATGAGTTTTTTAAGTGTTACGGTCCCTTCAGCGAAACGAACAAGGTCGTCATCTACAAAAATGCCTTCCTTAACTTGGGCGGAGCCTACAACATGAACACTGGCGTCTTCACCGTTCCCTTCTCAGGCGTCTACAGCCTCGCAGTCACCATCTTCAGTGACGCAGGGTCTCCCGGCAACATGCTGGCTGCCTGTGCCAATCTGCAGGTTAACAATAAAGTGATGGCAAGAGCCAAAGAGTTTAACACCAATGACCAAGAAGATAGCGCCACCATAGTTGTGGCCATGCACCTGAAAGTTGGAGACATGGTGACTGTTACCTTAAGCAGTGGCTGCTATCTCTGTGATGAAAGCTACTACAACACTTTCAGTGGCTTTCTGCTTTATGTTACTGAATAAGTTGGAGGATGGTTGGTTTTTATTGCAAGTTTTGCTCCACTTTTAAGGTTAGAGTCTGCTAGGTGAAATTTTCTGTATCAGTCTATTGTTTGGGGATTTTTTGAGAAAGTCCCGGTTTTAAATTCATCGTGCTTTGATTCAGCTTGTACAATCTGAAAGCTTAAACCAAGACACTATAAGAGTATCTTTGTTCTGAAAAAAAAAACAAACATTTTCTTGTTTCAGTAATGGCCTGTAATGTGTATATACAATCAGCAGCCATGCACCTTGTAAAATTACATGAACTGTAATCAAAAGGTTTGTTTTACCTGAAGAATTGTGTGATTGTTTGGAAAATTAAACTATTGAAATACTGACGGTACTATGCTGTTTATTTTTTAGGTATTGATATTTTCCACAGACCAACTTTATATTGAACTATATTTAGTAACACCCATATATCAATTAAATTAAAAAAAACTTTATTTACAATCTTGGTCACAGTGAGCATGAATACGAAGCCTTATTAAACCATATTACCAATCTGGTGACAGACATACATGACACATACAGTATCAATGAGATGAATGTCTTAACATTTAGTATATGGTGGATTTCAGTCCATTTTAATATACTTTATTTTATTTACTCGATAACATCAGTCAGATGCATCCAACTAATCTTTCATCAGGTACCACCTTAAATCTGATCGTATACCTGTCACCTGTTCAGGGGTTCAGAGAACGATGTTCGGGTGAAGGACTTTCACCATGTTTTTACATGTTAAATTGTACAAGTACATGCTGACCTGGGCACCTTATAGTCACTGAGTCAGCCATGGTCTGTATACCAAAGTGGTCTAGAGTCATCTGGTGATTCTTAAAGGGGGGTTTCAATTCTCACATCGGTAACAATAGTGAGACCCGAAGGCGGGCCTGGAAGAAAATGACCAACCTGATGTTAACCTGATTAGTGTTCTGTCATAAGACTTCTTTGCAAATAGTGATTTGTCCATAAAGGTGTCCATACCAACTGGTGGTAAGTTGGGGAAGGATGCTGGACACTATACAAATGTATAGTGAAGGTGCACTTGGAACATCTGGCAGAGGCCCAGTCTGTGAGATCTTTAACACCGACCTGAGGCAGAACTTCAAAAGCTGGGGCGCTGGGCATGTTGATGTAAATGAAATAGGTTGCACCGGAGCGGTTCGTAGCGTAGAGCGTAAAGCGGCAGGAATGAGAATTAGCACTTCCCAGTTTGAGGACATGATTCTTAGCTGAAAAGGGGTGGCATGCCTATTCCAGGTCAGGGACGAGTTGCTGCCCCAAAATGGAGAATCCTAAATCGTAAAATATTTCAGGGTCTTATTAAAAGATCAGAGGAGAGGAGAAGACTGATGGACAGATTGCGGCTACGTCTGCAGTGATGCTGCACTACTCTGTCGTGGTAAAGAGAGACCTGGGCATAAATATGAAACTTTGATGTACTGGTTGATTTACTTCCCTATGCTCACGTATAGTCACAAGCTTTCGATAGTGACCACAACAATGGATACAAGGGTGGCTTGCCTCTTCCTCAGGGTGAAGCATTCAGTCAATTGAAAGATGGTAAGTGTAGTGCTACTCGTGCTCAACGAACACAGCCAGCTGAGGTGGCCCACTCAAGTTTTTGGGGCATATGACAAGGATGCCTCTTGAGCGCCTCCTGGGTGAAGTGCTCTGGGAATTTCCTACTGGAAAGAGGCCTTGGGGCAAACCCAAGTCATGCTGAATAGATTATATCTGTCAAATGGCCTGGAAATGCCTCTTTGTTCCCCTGAATGAACTCAGGGAGGTGGCTGGGGAGAGGGAGGTTTGGGCTTCTCTGCTTAGGCTGCTGGTCCCACGACCAGGTTCTTGATAAGCAGGACGGATGGATGATACCCGAGTTGAATCACAAAGACATTTAATAGACTGAATATCCACACTAGTCTTTGATAGCGTGATCAGTAGAAAAGTCATCAGTAGAATAGCCGTGACTCGTGATCAATAGGGTTTTAAAACTTGCTAAAAAATTAGGCCAAAATGCGTCTTAGGTCTAAAACTGCCTCTAGCTAGATGTTAAGAAGTTAAATTTGCTGGGTAGTTTTTATACATTCTGTCACAATAAGTTGAATTATTAAATCTGAAAAATGAAAGAAATGAAAACTTTTCAAAAAATTAGTAGTATTTCATT